CAGCGGGCCTGTGACCAGCATCTCCCCTGAGCTGGGACGCCTCTCAGGTACCAAAACCCTTAAGGTGTCATCTGCTCCAGAAGGAAGGCCAGGGTGAAGTCCCCCCGCTCAAGTCTCAATTATCGCCCGTTGAGGAATGCCAAGGCTTTGTGAGTATTTGCTCTAAACTCGAGAGGGAAATTTTATTTGAGCTAGCTTCTATTTCATACATTCTTTCTCCGTTCATTGGTGTGTGCGTGTGGTTACATACCCTTGCCCTTGTTCCTGTGTGTGTTTGTCCCTTTTGTGTTCATTTTTACTGAATCCAAACACCTTTGTTTCTGTATGTATGCGCATGTATATATGTGTATAAATTAAGGTACCGTAAGGAAGTTAGAGTGAATCTTGTAATTTTAGAATCTGTGAATAAGTCGCTTTTCTTTCTGAATTATTTTGTATTGATAAATTGCTGTAGTTATTAATAAATCTAGATTTCTTACTAAATCATTACCGTATCAATACTTTCATCCATGACACTTGAAAGGTGGCCCAAAGCACAGGAAGTCTTAGAAAGGGGACAATTTGGTCAGACAAAAGGGGCATGGTTGTATCTGAAATTACAGCAGCTGACTCTCTCAGTGAGAGCAGGGCCAAGTCTTAACCTAGAGCTGGTGCCTCTTCCTTACCAACCAACCAACCAACCAACCAACCCTGTTTTTGGCAGGGGAGAAATGAGAGTCAGATGTGCACCAGGTCTGTACCTGATTTCTGCACTGTTTCAGGAAGAAATGTGTAAAGCACTCTTGAGGGAAAAAGCAGGGGAGGTGCTTTGCAGCACAGATGCTGAGCATGGAACCTCATGATGCTGCACCCATGGTGCAGTGGCCTTGGAAGATATACAAGGAGCCAGGGCTTTCTCTGGTGTCAACTGTTCTTGCAGCAAGAAAGGCTGCTCAAGGTCTGGCTGGCCTTGTCAGAGAGGCTGCAAGGCTGGGTTGATGATTAAATTTTGCCAAATTTGCACATATAGAAAATTAACTCTGCAGCTTGGGCACAGCATTCTTTAATGATTAACCACATTTGCACCTCCAAGAAAGTAAAATGATGCTCATTAGATTAGGAACAATGTCTAGACCAACTTATCAGTAAGAAATAAGTAAGTTAGCATCAGGAACAAGTATTTGGTCTGATTCCTCCTCTGCTTTCCTCCTTCCCTGCACAGACAACTTGAAAGGAAACTAGTCTGGGCAACAGTAACTGGATATCAACACGACATTCCCTAATGAAGGTGGAGGCACACCTTAAGTTCACCACAGTGCAGCATCCTGCAAACACCCATCTCACCAGGGCAATCCCAGAAGCATGACTGAATGAACCCGAGCAGGTTGAGAGCAGCTTGGTACCAGAGGGGTCAGGAAATGAAAAAGGTGATCTCACCCTGGAAAGCTTTCTGATGCCCAACAAGTGTCCAGGAGAGCCTGTCACAGTGGGGAGAGATAACTGGGAGGACTCTGAACTTTGTAAGACGCAGGTTTACATTTTTTTCAGGACTCCAGCACTGTCCTATGTGAAGTTTAGTGCAGGATGCTGCCCCTCAAGCAGATTCATCTGATACGAATTGCAAGACACGGTGGCTGACCATCGGAGGGAAGGGTTGTGAAAAGGCAACTTGGGCACTAAGTGTCATTTTGGCCTTGTGTTTCAGTGGGACCTCGTGTGTTAGCAGCGCAGACTGAACCAACCACCTTCTTCATCAGTGTTACAGTGGGGGCTGTGATATTTGGATACCTTTCAGACAGGTTTGATGCCTTTCAGGCTGTTCCTCTAGGGCTTCAGTTTCATGATGAGAGCTTCACAAATCTGTGACCTGAAGAAGGCAATCAGAGGGGCAGAGAAAGGAGAAAACACAATCATAAAGGGAGAATCTAGCTTCTCACTTGAAAATTGGATTAAAGTGATACTGGGAAGCAATGCAGTGGCTGAATGCTTCATGGAACAGCCAGTTAGCAGCCCACCAGAGAAGCAGCTCTGGCCTTGGTTAGGAGGAAGATGCACTGCAGCAATGACTACAACACTGTGATCAGCATTGCTGCAGGAACAGTAAAAACTGAAAAAATCCACTCTCTGTGAGACCAATTTCAGAAAGGATAACTGTCCGAAAAAGGAGAAAGATGACTAAAACAAAAACAAACCAAGAGACTAAAAGAGTTAACTCCTTGCAAGTTATATGGAAATTGGTTAAGGACACCCAAGTGAGGGGCTCAGCGCAAATACATGCCATAGCTGAAAAAAAAAAAGAGTAACCAGAAAGCACAAACTGACCATATCATTACAAAAGCCAGGGTAAGGGAGATTAGTAGAAGCAGGGAGACATTCCTCAAGGAAGAGCTGAGGCAATGAGGAAAACAGGAACAAATCTTCTCTCTCTGCTTAAATGTTAGAAAGTGATAATGTAAACCTGAATAATATCGGAGTAATAACCTAGAAAGGGCATCAATTAAGAAACTAAGTATTTTTGCAAACAGCAGAACCAGGAAACCTATGGAAGAATAAGTAGTACAGGCATGCAATCAGGATGTGCACTCTGCGCTATTCGTTATTTAATGTCTGAGTTTCCTGCACAGGAAACTGCTCCCTGAGTTCCTTCCTCTGAGACCAAACAAGCATTAGTGTTCGGCAGGCTACAAAATCACTGCATAGCAGAGGGAAACCACCTTCACATTATGAAGCACTCAGAGACTTAGTGCTGACGATGGGAATTTTTACATCCATATCTTTGCATAGGAGTATATCAGTATACTTTTACAAAGACCCAAGACGCCTGGCTGATATTCAAACTGTGCCTTTTAGCTTTGTATCTAAAATGGCTTTGTAGCACAGTTGGAGGGAAAGAAATTCAGAATCATGAAAAGGAGCAGGACATAATAAGGCAGAAGAGATGGTCTCTGCTAGAGCAAAACAAACAATAATTTGTTTTTCAAATGGATTGTGAGAGGGAAGAGCCATATCAAGGCATAAAAGGAGCATCTGGAAATGAAAAGGCTTTAGTGTGAGACATAAATGAGTTTGTGCTCACAGTGGGAGAACCTGTAGGGGCAGGTGTTGGAGCTGGAACTTTGAAACAAGCTGATAGAAAGCACAGAGAAATACACCAGGTGAATGCCAGCAGCCTGCCAGGAGCAGGGAGTGGTCATCCTAGAGCCCTACAGGACCTTTGAGATGAAAAATCTGAAATACTGTTGGCTTTGTGTGACCACCACAGCAGAGGGCTGGGAAGTTACTGTGTATCAAATCAGTTTTAAACTGGTTTCCAAAAAAGATCTCAGAAACTACATTCCAGGCAGCCTGACATCCATCTGAACCAGGCAAATTAGTAGAAACTCTTCTGAAAGATTGAGTCGGTAGCCGTATGGGTAAAGATGACATATTGGTGAAGACTCAGCAGGGTTTTTGCAAAAGATTCATGCCTTACAAACATACTGGATTCCTTTGAATGCACTAACAGGCATGTGAACAGGGGAGATACCACCCAAATGGATTTCAAGAAGTTTCCTTACCAAAGGTTCCTAAAGAAACTGAGCTGCCCTAGGATAAGGAGGAAGGTCTCTGCATGAATAAATAATTGATTAAAAGCCAGGAAGGAAGAGGGAGATATAAGTGTTCAGTTGTGACAATGGAGGGAGACCTGTGGGGACCTGTGCTTGGATTTGTGTACTTTTCAGCACATTTATAAATTATCTGGAAAAGAAGCAAGTGGGGAGGTGATGCTGAGTGACCAGGCTGGTAGAGATGAGATCTGAGTGTGAAGAACTGCAGAAGGAGCTTAAAGAGCTCTGTGACTGGATGAGAGCATCAGAAGACAAAATTTCAGGGTAGATTAATCCAAAATAAAGAGAGAAACAATTCTAACTTCTCATTTAAAATTGAGGCCTCTGAGCTGACCATAGCTGCTCAGGAGCAAGACTCTGGGATTATGACAGACAGCTCTAACATCAGCAACAATCCACTCAGCAATGTGTGGTGGCTGGGTGAGTGAGTAAAAAAATTAAGAATCATTACAAAAGCAATATAAAATTAGAGAGAATACCACTGCAGTAACATGTAAATGCATGGTGGCCCCACATCTTGAATATTGTGTGCAGTTTTGATTTCCCTTCACCTTCCTTCCTCATCTCAAAGGGATATAGAAGAAATGAAGGAGAACAGGTCCCACTTCTTTGTGCTAACAGTAATGCAGAAATTTCATCTCTAGTGCTCCAGGGTGAAAACTATCTGGTCCTGGCATTCTGCTACAGTTCAGGCTTGTTTTGTTCTAAGCCTCTGCAGACATCTGGATTTGAGAACATCTCTACTGACAAATTTTACCCTGGTACTTTGTACTGAATTGGCTGCATGATGCTTTGGCAGACTTCCAGATTGGGTATTTATGAAAATAGCTTTTTTATTAATTTTTATACTTGTGCATTTTGCTACTTCTATTTTCTACATTTAATCTTTCAGAGGTTGTGCTTTCCTACATCTCCCCTTGAAGACAATTTTAACAGCATTATTTCTAGCAGCCGCCCCGTAGCCTGCAGTTCAATCCTGCCAGCTTGACTCTGGTTTTCCTAGCAGGTGTCATGCTTTTGCTGAGAGAGACTAGTAATGGGTTCATAAATAGCTGCCTTGTGCCCTGCAGGCAATCTTACGGTTTTATATCCTTCTGACTGTATTGTCAAGAAAAATTTCACTTTAAAAATGTATCTTCTTTCTTAGGCAGTTACCCTACTGGAAACTAGATCCAGCCCTCGTGTTTCTAGGTGTTTGCTGCTCCAACCCAGGGACATTATAATGACTTTTGCAAACTGGCTCTGCTTAAATTTCAAAGCAGATCCAGCAAACTGCCTGGGCCCAAGCCCAAGTTGTTTTTCTCCAAGTAGATTCATTAACTAGCTGCTGCATTAAGTCATTTATGATAATTTTAGGAGTGTTACTGTGGCATTATGTCCAAGCACTTCACTTTTTTCCCTGGTGCTGGTGCAATTGTGCTTGCCACCATCCTTCTTAGGTGGACACTAAGAGAGCCCTAATGCCAGAATCAGACCTACAGACTAAACACTACCTTCATTTACTACTCCAGCTTGAACATAACCTTTCATCACATGCAGTGCTGATGTTCATGAGGAGACTGATGCCTTGTGCTCCATTTTGATTTTCATAGGTTGTGTAGAAATAGACACGTATTCCTCTGTGCGTGTGTGTATGTGTACATGCTCATTTGTGTGTATTTAATTTTTTGTATTTCTCCACACAGGACTCTGCATGACGGGTAAGATGGTCCTACAACTTCCAAAACCCTTGGGGAATGACCTCCTAGAGATTTATCATAGATCTCTTAAGACATCAGGGCTATTTGCACATGTGGTCTGACAAGTGGATTCCTTTTATTTTCCTTTGGGATCTTTGTTTTTCTTCCAAGAATCAGGGTGAAAGTGTCATGGTTCTCTCTCCTCCTCGAGGGCAGCGGCAGTGGCTGGTCAGCCATGGGAGATGGACATGCTGAGCCAGGCATGGGACAGTCATTGGAGGGAGCAGGGTGTGCCAGCAGCATGGGATTTCAAGCAGACATCACTGTTTTTGATGTTGGTGTTGAACAGAGGAGCCCAATATATTCTGATCAGTGCCGCTCTTTCCACTGGAGAGCCTCATGCCTGATGCTCACAGAGCAGGCTGGCCCTCTGAATGGGATTGCACCACTGTGGCACCGGCTATATCCAGAGCCATTTCCTCCTCTCTGGGGTGTTGCATCTTGCGCTCTTTGCAGAGCAGGCAATATTTTCATTTTCCTTCCCAAGTCTCTGTTTGCCCCATTTCACCCCTACTCCTGGGACAGGTTTCCAGCCACTGTAACCCAGCCTGTGCTTGTGGCAGTTTTGGACGGAAATCCATGCTCCTGCTGTCACTTGTGTTCTCTGTCATATTTGGGATGCTGAGTGCTGCCTCTGTCTCCTACAGCATGCTGGCCATCACATGGACCCTCACTCAGGTGGCCCTGAGCAGCGTCTCCCTTATTATATTGCCTTTCAGTAAGTATGTGGGGGTTTGTGGGTGCCTGGTTGTACAGGGGTACTTCTGACAGGTGGGTAGGTACTTGTCTACCAGACAGGGCAGAGCTAGTAGGAACGGGAGTTTGGAAATCGTTATGTGCACAATTTCACTACAGGCAGCCAACTACAGCAGCCAAAAGAAGGCACCCCTTTTGGAAGGATCCAAGAATTACAATTTTCTGTTAGTTTAATTAATGCTTTAACAGTCTACGCAAAATACAACAACCACTGATTAGTACTTCTGTTGCAACATTAACACTTGCAATCCATGCTACCCAATTCCTGGCAAGGATCGTCAGTAGCACAAAAAGAGCCACGGTCCAAAGTTTCTGCACCTTTCCTCTGATACTGAGTTCTCACC